CTCGCAACACAATCCGTGGAGTCAGTCCCAGATGGCGACAGTTACTCGAACCCTTTGCCTCATACATTTGCTCAACAACCTTCGTCTACAGAGGGATGTACACCAGCAAGGGACGACCTCACTGCAAATAGCATAAGTCTTGCTGGCCACTGGTTGCATGATCTCGCAGCGTCCAGTCCTTGTCACGCGCAGGCAGACGGCTCCAGCTCTGCACACGGGCTTAGTGAGAGACGCGTGAGTGCGACTATTCTCACACGTGATGGTGCAGATCTTGATCCAGTTGTGTACCACTTCAGGCCTGGTGCTGCAGAGGACGAACCCACACCAGAAAGGGACAGCACAGAAGATTTGTTCATCACATTGGCCCAGATTCCAGCTGACGACACATGCTCTGGGAATTCCGGGAGACATCCACGGACAGCGGGCACTGTCTCCGTTGCTTCTCGTCTGGTCCCGGAAAATCAGTCCCAAGGGCTGCTGGACGTACGTCATGCGCAGGCGTCTGGGATGAACAACGAAGGCGGAGCAGATCGTGCTGTCTGGACACCTTCCAACAGAGCGCCTTTGCTGGACGGCACAAGCGATGCTGGCACAATCCAGCAGAACCGAGACCGGCAGGGATCCGGCCCTGTCCCGACAAACTCTGACAAGTTCGTTGGCAACGAACAAACCCACATGGGATCTTGCACCACGGCCTCCACATCTCTGCGAGTAAGGCACATGTCACACACCCGCCATGCGAGGTCTGAGGAAGTTCCAGCATCGTCACTGTGCATCTCGTTCGGGGAACTGGGGCCTGAATGGATTGCGGCGGACTCCGTGAGCCGAAAAGCACATGAGCTCCCAAGCGTTCCGCTGCAGTGTGTGGGTGGTGCTGCCCCGGAGACTGTTGGCCTGAGAGACATCGCCTTAGAAAAGACTGACAGCCTAAGCTCGGTGACTGACAGCGAGGCTGAAGTTCGGGCTGCAGCAAATGTCATTCCCAGCACCAGCTTGGGCACAACACTGACACAGGCCCGTTTGCGACTGTTCGCCTGCAGCCATGCATCTTTTTCAGCACCAATTGCTATAGGCTCTCTGGTTGCGAGTAGAGACAGAGTGACACAGCAAGCAAGATATATAGATTCCTGACAGCGTTTTGTCTGACATGGTTTCGGGCGATCACGGCATATCACAGCCACCTGATCAGGCGGATGCAGAAACAGAGAAAAGTCACTTGGGAGCACTGAGCACGGGCTGGTTGTTCTTGTTTTGTGTTTTCGGTTTTCAGTTTCGTGACGTGCCTGGCAGTGCTTTTCAGGATCTCCGCCTCGCAAATCCGACAGTCGGCGGAGACAGTCTCCTCCCAACGGGACACTTGGCTTCGCTGGGAAGTGGCCCAAAAGGTCAAGTCGGTAACCCAAACACATTTCGGAGTCCAATGTGCCCTGAAATGCCCCGGATGAACATTGAAATCTTTGGCTCCACGTACTTTGTGTCTCCCTCGCTTCGCCCACACGCACCCCACACACATATCACGAAGCTTCGAATAATCCTTTTTGCCCCACCACGAGCAAACCGCAGGCGTACCCCGAATACCCCGCGAATCGCGCGTTCTGGGTGGTCTCTAACTACGCCTGTTGACCGCGTGCAAATACCCCAGGCGTACCCCGTGCATCACTACGATCAACGCGGGTTCTCTATATGCGACACACTCACCCCGACCACGGACTTGCGGGCGTACCGTGACCAACCGTGTGCATCGCTTACCCTCCAGGTTGGTCTAAAGATGCCCGCCCGCTGCTGGCGTACCCTTGCGCATTGCACACCCTCCCGCGGTCCATCTATGCCGCCGTACCGCACCCCAATGCCGTCCAAGAAAGATTCATGGCTCCGGTCCCCGCCACCAAGGAAAAGCCAAGCCGTGGGCCAGGCCCTCTGAGTTTCTGCTGGGCCTGGGTTTGTTCCGGCGGAAAAGCAGTAGATGTTAAAACCTACGGGAACTACGGCTTGCGGTGGCTTTTGGAAGCGATGCATTACCCGCCCTACCCTTCCTCTGTAACACCGCAGCTGGTTTCAGGGCCAGGTTCATGGAGTTTTGCTGGCGGCACAAACAAACAAAGAATGTAGGACATGCACCCGTAAAGTGCGAAATCGTCTCCGGGCAGGTACCTGGCGCAGGCCAAGGCGCGTCTGCGCCTGCGAGTGGGTGCCTACAAGGAGTTCTCTTTCACCAACCGGAGGCTGAGCCAAGTAGAAGGCGCGACTCCAGACGCACGGAAGGGACTGGAAGCTGTGACTCTGCGCACTTCACATCACGGCCCCTCGGCCGTTCCATGAACGATTCGTCTGACTGGCATAGCTGTGCCTCTGCAAGTGAATCGGAAACAGATGCAGCCGGCTTGGGATCGCTTGGCAACAGTGACGTGTCAGTGGTATTTCAAGAAGCACATTCTCCGGACAGGGTAGGAGACTTGATTTCTGCATCGGCGGAAGTGCGCATGCGGCTGGCAGAGCTGCCCGATTCGCCGTGGATCAACGTGACAAGTCCCGGCAGGGGATACATGCAACCAAGGCGGAGCTGGCCTTCACTGGGGCAAAGCCCAGCAAAGAGCCTGACTCCGTTTAATTATTCCTTCCATCTACCTCCCTCAGACACGAAGATCTCCAGTGCCACTTCCAACCACGCAGTGCCCATACTTGAGTTGCCTGTCGGAAGCATGCCGGATCGGACTGGGAAAACAACCAGCGCCCCGGAAAGCGCCAGAGATTCGGAGATCCCCACGTCTTGCCCGACGCTACCAATTCAACGGAAGCACTGCTCGCCAAAGGCTAAGCCTGCGGGGCAATGCCAGTCGTCTAGCTCGCTTGATGACACCACCTCGCCGGTCGCGCTGGACACGCCAAAGCCACATCCCAAACCTTGCCTTCCAGCAAGCCCAACAACCTCGCCCATGCCTGTACCTTCCTCGCCCTCTGCGCCCTCGTCACCTTCAACTTCTCCTCTGCCATCGCCAGAGAAGCCACCGAAAGGTGGAAAGAAGGGTGCTCCGCCTAAAGGCATGGGCAAGGGGAAGGACAAGGGCAAGGGAAAGGATAAAGGTGCCAAAGCTGAACCAAGGAAGCCCGACGTAAAGCCAGGTGTGCAAGTCAAGAAGCTTTTCTGGAACTCCTTTCGCATTGATAGTGCGCAAAACACGGTCTGGAATGCTATTGAAGAAGAAGGTGCACAGATTGACACGCAGCAGCTAGAGACTTTGTTTTGTGATGAACCTCTGAGAGGCTTTCATCGCTTTGCCTCGCCTTCGCCGGAGAGCGACCGTCCGATGGTAAAGCGTGTTCAGGTCGTGGACACGCAGCGTAGACGGCAAGTCTGTGTCATGCTAGCGAGACTTCCGCCCACGCCAGTTGCAGCAAGGGCCTTGCTTCGCTTGGATAGCGAGGTGCTCAACAGCGAGCAAGTCGAGCTGCTGCACTTTAACCTGCCATCGGAGGACGAGATTAAGCTGTTGCGCAAGGCACAGGCTGAACAAACTATTGATGAACTGCACGTGTGGGACACAGCAGAAGATTTTCTTTTGGCTTGGATTGCCGTACCTCAATTCGAGCTGCGACTCCGCACCTGGCACTTCGAGAATACGTTTCAGGAGCGGTTTGATGCTCTAGCAGAGGGGCTGCGAAGCGTCTTGGAGGGATGTCGCTCCGTGCTGGATTCCCGCTGCATTAGGCATCTTCTTGGGATTGTCCTTTATGCTGGAAATTATTTGAACGGCGGCACACCTCGTGGACGAGCAGATGGTGTCTCGACTCGGAACTGTTTTTTCCTTCTTTCATGAATCTCAACCTTGCTACTGTATAGTCCTGGTTCTCAATGATGTTTCTGAGAGCACCCTGCTTCTCTGAGGATTTGCGCTGGACACACTCCCAATCATGCGAACAGTGAAGATGTCACAGGCCGATCGCCCGGGAACTTTGGTGGACTATGTCACTGGACAGATGGAGAGGCGGCATCCTGGAGACCTTCGCACTGTTTTTTCTCCTGGTGGCGAGTTCGAAGTCTTGACAAGCGCTGCTAGACACAAGGCCCCCGACCTCGCAGACGAGCTGCGGAAATTGCGAAGCTATGCTGAACAACTCTCCAGCCGCCTTCTCAACCTTTCTCCTGCAGACGCGCAGGACTCAAGCATGGATGCTCGCCAACCAGAAGCGTCCCACTCTTCAGGTTCTGGTGTGGATGACGTCCTTTTGGCTTGCCAAAGGTTGCTTGCAAGCCGAATCGAGGAGCTCGAGAAGCTAGAAGGTGAGTTGAAGCAACTCGAGGAGAAGTACGAAGAAATCGTTGTTTGGTTTCATATGGAAGAAAGAGGTGCCCGAAAGCCAATGGACGAGTTCTTTCACATCTGGGACAAGTTTCTTCGGGATGTTCAGGTTGCCCACAAAGCGTTTGAGCAGCAAGAGCTGAAGGAGAAGCGGAAGACTTCCATGCCTCCTCGTCGCGCCACGATGCATGTACCCCGCGAGAAGGAGCGCGGTGATCGCAGCCTGCGAAGCTTGACCCCGCGGCGGAGCGGCAAAGATTCGACGAATTCGAGTGGCGATACCCGAACTCAAGCCGAGGAGGATGCTGCATCCTCGATCTTTCCGGCAAGACCGCGGTTCTCCAGTCACGCTGACTTTCAAAAATATGGCCGCGCAGCTCAGGCCGAGAAGCTGGAAGAGGCCTGCTCTAGCTGAGCTCGATACGTGCTGGATCACCAGCGTCGTCACAGTATCGCTTGGCCACAAGGACCTGTAAAGTCTCTGTAGAGTGAGAGTTCTGGCTGCACAAGATCCAGCCTGCTACAGAGCCAAGCAGACAAAGTGCATTTTATCCCTACTTTCGTTCGAGGTTCACATGGGAACCCGTATTCGATGAAGATCGATGAAGTGACATCTGCTGCTTGCGACTGCGATATTGTGCATGTATACATGAGCTGCTCTGGTTCAATTCGCGATCCCGACCCTCAGCTTCCCTTGCTTGCAAAGGCGCCATGTTGTGTCGGTTGCGAGTGGGGGTTTGCTTGTCGCACTCTTTTCCAAGGACAGACAGGCAGATAGAAAGTGAGATGTCAGGCCTTGGCCTGGGTGCGCCAGCGCAGTTAAAGGCAAGAGCAATGTACAGTAACCAGAAATCAAGTTCAACATGTAAACGGCCTGGTACCCAGCAGGAGGCAGGCAAAGGAAAAACTCAAAACACCAAAACATCTAAAACCCAACCCTGCAACTTTAAGCGACTCGCACTTTCAACTGCAAACCTCCAAAGCTTATAAAGCTTATGCGAAGCAGCTGAAGCGCTTTCAGTCGGACAGGCGAATGGCAAACCACTCGCTGGCTGACTGCCAGCTTATCAGAAGTGGCCGAGGTCTCTCTTCGCAAACTGCTGAATCGAGCTGTCTCATATGAATTTCATGGCTTTTCAGCGACACTCGTAGCATCGATTGTCTTCGCGTTGTGGCGACATCAACAAGTAGCCGTATGTGACCGCAAGTAAGGCGAGGGATTTACGGTGAGACTTGGGGGCCGTAGAGGGTGTCGGGTTCAGGGTTTGGGTCTAGGTAATTTTTTGTTTTGACAGCTGTAGCCTGGGTGCGACTGGGTAGCGGGGATGTTGTCGAAGCTTGCTGATCTTGGACATTGGATGACATTGGCTGCACTCCAGGGCTTCTCTACAGCTTGCGGCGCATACGAGCTATGTGTCGTCTCCCAGGTCTTGGTGGCTGAAGAGCATGAAGAAGCACTCTGAAGGTGCGGATGCTTTTTTACAGGTTCTACTGTACCAAAACTCTCAACATGTCAGAGCCTGCATGGGCCTGACGTCGAGCCAAAGACATCCAGGATTGGGGTTTTTGGAGGTTTCACAGCGAAGATGGCGCAGCGAACAATGTTGGTCTTCTGGGTTCCTGACCAAGAACCGACTGTAAACCCCTTCTGTGAGCCCTTGTTTGCCGCCTCTCTTGCCCTCCCCAAGTGAAACCTTAAACGAAATCCCAGCAAGTCTTCACGTTTCTTAATACCCGACTTCTCCTGATAAAAGAAGCACGCGAAAGAGCCGCAAACAGGCTCCAAGGAGGAGTATGGCGGAGTTATGTGAAGACCTGAGAAGATGTCGGTGATAAAGGTTAGAGACATTCTCATGAATCTGGAGGGACTTTGCAGGTCGGGTGCACAGTGAGAGCTTTCAAGGGTCGGGGGATTAGGGTTAAGGATCTAAGGGTTAAGGGTTTAGGGTCGAGGGTTTCTGGGTTGAGGATTAAGGGTTAAGGGCCGGGGGATCAGAGATTAGGGTGACGGGTTTAGGGCGAAGGGTGAGCTTAAGGGTTGGCGAAGTGTGGTCAATAGTTAACAGTTAAGAGTCAGGGTTTAGGGCTTAGGGTTTAGGATTCAGGGTTTAGGGTTCAGGGTTTAGGCCCTTCCTGAATATAAGGCTGGCGGACGAGGTAACAGGTTCCAAGATCTAGGGCTTATGGCTTAAGGTGTTGGGACACCCTAAACCTTAAAACCCTATCCCTGTGACCTTGGTCCCTATGCTTACGAAAGCCTCCCAGACCCGCGTTTCTGCCAGGGGGTTTCGGCAGCTCTTCGCCTGAAGTAAACCCCAAACCCGCAACTCTCAGCTGATCGTTCCCATCCTTGGGATGGGGCAGTCCCTGATGCCCCAACCCCCCTCCTCCTTTGCAGTTTTTCATGCACCCCCTCCCCTTGCAAGCCTGTGTCAGAAGGGATGCGTTCCATGAGCCCTCCAAAATGAGCCCTGCACGTGGGACGTGGTCCATACACCTCACGACAACTCGCAGCTTTGAAGGCTCCAGCGTTCATCAGACTGATCAGGATTCACAGAGCGAGGCCGCAGAAGCCATGTCCACGGTTTTCGAAGTCCCCGCAATGGCAAAGGCCTTTCAGAAGGGGCGCAAAGGGGGTGGGAGTTCCGTGGGGGGCGGGGGGTCCTTGAGTCCAGTGAGTTTGGTGAATCAAATTTCCGATAGCAACAAGACATTTTCGTATAATATGCACCCTCCTCAACTCTGTAGTTTTCACTTCGGCTCATGAACTAGAGTTGGGGGAGAGCGCGCATCGCGGGGTTGCCTGTCCCCCTTGACAGCCCGGGGTGCTCTCGTGTTGAGCACTCCGCGTTGAGAATCGAATGCCTGTCTTTGTCACGCTCCGCCCCAGATTTCATCAGATCACAATTCTTGGAACCTCCAAATTGGTCCAGATACCATGATGGCGACAATCGGTGAGTAGGTGGAGGAGAAGTAGTCGGCTCCGGCACAGGCATCTCGACCCCGACCAACCACCCCACAGAAAAGTGGGGACCGCTGACCAAAGAAGGAGTTGGTGCAAACCGCCTCGGAAGCGTGCGTCTTCGTTTTCAGCGGTGAGGGCGCCCATGGTACAGACACGGCACCTGGGATGCGAAGACCATGTAAGACTGTTTCTGGATGGCCTGGGTTCCATGTTTCTGGGGTTTGGACTTTTGCCTTGTAGTGAGCTATAAACTCATCGTCAAATCCTGCCCCAAGGGTGATGTGAAGGACCCCTCCCTGAAGCTTAATTTCGAAACTCCTTTGCACCTCTGAAGATGAACACATCTCCGTCCTGAGCTGTAAGCCCTAAACCCTAAAAATCCAAAACCCCAAAGCCTAAACCATAGACCCTAAACCCTAAACCTTTCTATACACTGCACGATGCGCTGGGAGAGTAGTGCAAGTTTGTTTTGAAGCAGGAACCAGGGTAATAATGTCCCTGGATAGTCGTGACGAAGGGGCACCGAACCATGAGAGCCTTGCCTGCTGCGTGCGAGTGTGAGTGTCGAAATCCCTAAACCACCTTTGAAGACGAGGACATTTCCGCCCTGAAGCTCACAGCCCATCCTCCCCCCCCCTCCGCCAAGAAAGAAAACAAAGCTTTCATTTCTGAAAACTAGGACATCTCCGTCCTGAAGCTCAGCCCATCCTGGCCTGCTGTGCAGCAAGCTCTGCGTGAGGTCGGGCAGGTGGATCCCGAGGCTCGGGTTTAGGGGTTTGGGTTTTAGGTTTGTAGGGCTTTAGGGTTCTAGGGCCCTAGGGCTTTAGGGATCTAGGGTTTTAGGGTTTTACTGTAGGGTTTTAGGGTTTAAGGTTTTAGGGTTTTGGGGTTCAAAGTTTAGAGTTTTAGGGTTTTGGAAGTATTGTGGGTCAAGCTGGGCAGTAAGGGCAGCAGTCGAGTCCCTTGTGAAAAAAAGGGTTTTAGAGGTTAGGGCTTTAGGGTTTTTAAGTTTAGGTTTTTAGGGGTTTAGGGTTTTTGGGGTTTAGGGTGTTAGGGTTGTACTCTCTAGAGTTTATCTGTGGGAAGTCAGACTGGGGTTTTGGGTGGTTTGGAGTTTGGGGGAGGAAAGGAAATGGGGGAAATGATCTCGAAGCGCGTCGAAGAGTCTAGCGTTGGGTTTCACGCTTCAGGCTGTGAATTGCATTCTGGACTGTGGGTTTTCCATGCTTTAGGCCGAGAATTGTTTGCTGCATCTTTGATCCTGAGGCATTCCTGCAAGAGAACCTCGGAGAACACACTGCTCCGAACTCGCCCCTGGTCACGGTGTCGCTGAACATTCTGCATGCGGAACCTTGCATGAGTAGGGGGGGGGAAGTGCGGAAGCGTGTACCCGCCTCTGAGCGGCTTGAGCAGTTTGCATTTCCATTAAACCCTGAACCCTAAACCCAACAGATGAGAGAGGCGAGCTGTCGGCACAACATTCAAGCTGCTCCTGTTACGCACCAAGAGCTCACTGAGGTGTTGTCTAAGTGTCGCTCGGGGGTCAGTGCAGGGCTGGATGGGGTCACTTTTCAGGGTTTGAAAGTCCTGCTTTCTCGGGATGATGAGGACAGACTGCCACAATACTTCACCCGCTTATTGCGCGGGGAAGTGGCTGTACCCGAAAGTTGGCTCACTGGCAAAATCGTGTTGCTTCCTAAGGTTTCTCGTCCCTCAGAACCGGGCGAACTCAGACCCATATGCTTAGTTCCGTAGGGTTTAGGGTTTAGGGTTGGTTTAGGGTTTAGGGGTTAGGGGTTAGGGTTTAGGGTTTAGGGGTTTAGGGTTTAGGGTTTAGGGGTTTAGGGTTTAGGGCGTCTCGCCGCGCAGCGGCAGGAAGTACCATGT